AGATAACGAGGTTAGTTCAATCACGGAAGGTGAGGTGCTCTGGTAGCAGTTGAGGTGTGAACACCAAGGGAGGAGAAACTGTTTCTATAGTTGGATAGCCATTCACAGTCTTTGTTTAATCCTGATCTGATGGAATTTGCAAATGACCCTCTGTTGCTTTTTACAGATTCAGACTAACACGGCTACCCCTCTGATACTCTCGGTATAGTGTGTATGGTAACACCCATGGTTTCATGGTTTCTGTGTATATATATCTTCCTACTGTATTTTCCACTGCTTGCATCCGATGAAGAGGGTTTTAGCCCATGAAAGCTTATGCTCAAAGAAATGTGTTAGTCTCTAAGGTGCCACAAGTACTCCTGTTCTTTTTGCGGATACAGATTAACACGGCTGCTACTCTGAAACCCATCAGAGGAGTGAAGTTCTGGAGCAGCCTTCCAAAGGGAGCAGTGGGGGCAAAAACCCTAACTGGCTTCAAGACTGAGCTTGATAAGTTTATGGAGGGGATGGTGTGACAGGACTGCCTACAATGGCATGTGGCCCATTGGTGACTGCTTGTAGCAAAAATCCCCAACGGCTGGAGATGGGACACTAGATAGGGAGGGCTCTGAGTTACTACAGAGGATTCTTTCCCAGGTGTCTGGCTGGTGGGTCTTGCCCACATGCTCAGGGTCTAACTGATCATCATATTTGTGGTCAGGAAGGAATTTTCCCCCGGGTCAGATTGGCAGAGACCATGGGGGTTTTCACCTTCTTCTGCAGTATGGGGTCACTTGCAGGTTTAAACTAGTGTCAATGGTGAATTCTCTGTAACTTTGTCTTTAACCATGATTTGAGGATTTCAGTAAGTCAGCCAGAGTTTAGGGGTCTATTACAGGAGTGGGTGGGTGCAGTTCTGTGGCTTCCAATGTGCAGGAGGTCAGACTAGATGATCACAAAGGTCCCTTCTGACTTTAGTAAGAGTATCTGAGTAAGAACTGACATTACAATTTTAAACTTAACTAGTGCCCCATAAGACACTTCCCATAAAATGTCAGAACATGTTAGTATTATAGCTGAGTGGGTCTAATATTTATTTATTTTTCTTTCTTGATATAGGGATTAGATATAGTGCTTCTGTCAGATATTTCTAAGTTATCTGCAAAAACACTAACTTTTCAGTTGCCTACGTAGCCCCTGGAATCACGGTTAAAATTGCCTCCTTCCCCCCAATCTGAAATGGCATCCCTGTGGGCAGGCATGTAATTTGTTGTCCCCATGCCAAGACCTGTTGGCCTGACTGGAGCCCTCCCTCCCCCCCCCATATAGAAGTCCAACTACACCTATGAGGGACTCCCTGCAACTTCCCCTACTCCCTCCCTTATGCCAGGGTCTCTGTGTCCTCCATTCCTCCTGTCCCCATACCAGGGTCCCCCAATCTCACCCCTCCTCACCAGGGGTTCTGTGCACCCCATTCCCCTCTCCCCATGTCAGGGGCTGTGAGCATCCCCCCCTCCTTCGTGTGAGGGGCTGTGAGCATGCCCCATGGTCTAGGGAATCAGTCGTTCAGGGAATCGATGCGATCAGCTCTGTTGGGCTCCGGGCGAGAGGAGCAGGGGTGTTTTGCTGGAACATGTTCCTTGGTGCCATCAGCAATTTGTTTGAGCTAAGCCAGAGAGCAAAGGCACTGGAAGCCGTGGAGCAGGAGTTGGGCTGGCATGTAGTTTGAGGTTTGGTTGATCATTTGGATGTGGAATATATATTGGGTTGGATTTGGTTTGAGGTTTGGGTTGGATCTGTGCTGAGCAGATGGCAGGGGCTCCATGCATTCCCTGTTTCCCCCCTTTGGTGTCCAGGTTTTCTCCAAAATCAATAGGGGTCTGTCCACTTAGGCCTAGAATATTCCCTGACATTTTGGAATTGATCAGATGCGGCCTTCCAAAGTTCTTCTCTCGCAGACAGACAGACAGATGGATGGAGCAATGCCATGGAGTTGAGGGAGGGAGGGGAAGTAGCTGCAGGGAGTCCCTGAACTAGATGGGGGAGGAGGGTGGCCACAGAGAGCTTGTGACCCAAAGGCTTTGATAAAGAAAAATGCCCCTGTCAGAAACAAAGGTACCAACTCCCAGCCCTGGAGCACCCATGGGAAATAATGGTGAGTGCTGAGCACCCATCGACAGCCATCTCCCCCCCCCCCCCCCCCCCCC